TGGTCTCACTACATTGCACAGGCTGGTTTTGAACTCCTGGCCTCATGTGATCTCCTTAAGTGATGCCTCCGCCTCTGAAAAAAATTTTGCATAGCAAAAACACCATAAATAAAGAATAGAAATAATGATGTAGAGGATATACAGCTCCTCTTATAAACAAAGAGATAAATTCTCTAATAAGTAAAGAGTTCCTTCAAACTGATAAGAATAAACTAACTACCCAGTAGAGAAATGGGCAAAGAATAGGAATAATTCAAAGGAAACAAACCTTTGCTTAACCTCACTTGTAGTAAGGGAACCACAAAAGAGACACCAGTTTCTGTGCATCAGACTGTCAAGATGATAAAGACTAATAACACAATATGTGGAAAAGGAATGGGAAACAGGAACTCTCATACATTGGGGGTGAAAGTATAAATAATCACTATGTTCTTGAACAGCAATTTGGCCACATTCTCTTTGACCTAGAAATTCTGCATTCAATATTCTAAATATTGTCTTTCGAGTATAAGAAATCAGATTTACTCAAAGATACATGTTATAGTAATTTTTCATATGAAATTAATATAATCTAAGTGTATATCAATAGGATTAAGTAAATATATTATGATATGCTTATACAATGGAATACTATGCAGCTGTTAAAATAACAAGGAAGTTTCATATGAACTAATATAGAAAGATATCTAAGGTATTTGTTAGTGACAAAAAGCAAGGTAAGGGAAAATATGCATAGTATGCTATAATTTTTTTAAAATATATGTTTCTGTATGTGTATTTTGTCTCTGGACACATAAGAAACTGGCCACAGCAGTTGGCCAGGGATAGGACCTGAGTGCGACTTGGGAAGCTGAAGGGCAGTGTGAGGAGGGAAATTTACTTATAATGATACTTTTTCTGTATGCTCTTTTTTTAATTTTTTGAATTTAATATCCTGTGATTAGCTATTCAAAAATAAGTAAAATAATTTTTAAATCTAGACAGAGAGAATGAGAGAATGAGAATGAATGATCTTTTTTCCTTGAGCATAGATGAAATATCTTGGAGGAGGAAGCACATGAACCAGGAGACAGGAGAATTTTAATATGGTATTTCTTCAGGAATATGCACTTATGGAATCATGGAATCCCAGGGTGAAGAAGTGTTAGGAATCCCCCAGACCAGCTTTTATTCTGTGGCAGAGGAAGAACAATCTGAGAAGAATCATTTGCTGAGGAGACATCTGTAAAGAATCCCCAGGCAGACATTAAGATATAAGTGCCAAGACAGAAGTTTTGGTGGTGGTTAGCAACCCCAGACTCTCCTTCCTGTTATCAGTCTGATGTCTTTGTCCTCCTCTTGCTGGGGAGTATCTTCAACACCTGCTGCACCCCCAGCTAGCCCAGACGTCATTTAAAGGAATCCAGCAGGTGTCTGCTGCCTGGATGCTTCGTCTGACTTTCTGGAATTTGGGGCAGTGCCTGAGTGTCCAGCAAAGTGTATTTTTTGGTTTCTATCCTACTGCGACCCAGAGCCACTTTTCTCGCAGGCTGTAGGATATCGGGTGTCTTCTTGGTCCCTATTCCTCCCTGGACTATCAAGTGTCCTTTCTGGAACCTTCCTATTCTGGAGTCAGATGGAGAGTCTATTTCCTGGTTTCTAAGTTTCACTTCTCATTTAACCCTGAAGCTCTATGACTGATGGTAAAAGCATTGGTGGTAATTATAATCTCACTCATCTTTAAAGGATTGTTTGTCTGTCTATATATCTGTTCATCTAGCTTCAAATCACAGTCTTCATTTGATCCTCTTAGACATCCTATTGGGATGATAGTAAAATATTTGTATAAAGTTTTGTTTTCTCAAACTTCTGGCCTCAAGCAATCCTTCTGCCTCAGCCTCCCAAAGTGTTAGGATTACAGGTGTGAGCCACTGTGCCCGACCATAGATTTGTTTTCTAAGTATCTTCCCATATATCATCTCATTGCAGCCCCTAATAATCTCATGTAGGTAAGAAAAGTTTTATTCACCCAGATGTGCAGATGAGGATATTGAAGAAGAAACTGTGAAATAGTTGGGTCTTTGAGATAAGAACATGTGGGTTTGAATCCTGATGCTAGATTCTTTACACCTGTTTCCTCAGGTGTAAAATGGGAATAGTAATATCTATAATTATCTGTCAGACTGGATTGCTGTTAGGATTAACTGACTATGGTTCAGAAAAGTTTCAAGAATTAACATTCTAGTGGTTTCCTGTTTCTTGACTTGTCCTATCATTTAAAAAATTTTTATTTTGAAAGTGTTTTACAATAGAGGAGAGATCAATATTATAAAACTGCTGTATCCATTGTCCTCCTCAACAATTATCAAAACAGGGTCAATCTGGTTTTAGCTATGCCCCTACCCATTGCCCACTTTATTTTATTAAGCAGTTTTCAAAATAGTAAGGTATTTCCCGTACATCCTCCAATGGTGACTAGTGGGCTATTTAGGATTATTTTTAAAGATCATTAGGAATTCATAGATTTAAACACATTTGTTATATTTCAATCTATTACAGTTATTATCCTTATCAATGCTCTACTTGACCAGGGAAACCTTATTCTGGGTGACTTCTGAGTCCTTTTGGCACGACTCTAACAGTCTTTGGCACTTTGTCTGCTTTTTTGATGTGATAAGATGTTCTAGGCTCATCTTGCACCTTTGCTGCATCCAATTCAGAATCAGCTGTTTCTCCCAGAAGGCCTGACTTCTCTGTGAGGAATGGTATTTAGAGTTCATAATCTGATTTCTAGGGGTGCTCATTCCTACTAGGAGGGTCATTCAGTGCACAGAACGAGGAAATGTGTGTGTGTGTGTGTGTGTGTGTGTGTGTGTGTGTATGATTAAGATAAAAACATGTGGAGTTCATTCTGATACTCCCAGTTCACAATCAGGGCTACAGAATTTTTATCTAATCTCGTCAATTTCACATTTTGTATCTCCTTTCAACCAGAAAACCATGTTTCTCAGCAACATCAGTAGTAGTACTCATTTGATTTATCCCACAATGAACATATAAAAGTCTCACAATAATAATAATAATAATATAGAACCATCAATAATATGATTATTGAAAACAGTTTAGGATTGTTTGTAGGGGATGGGGCAGTTCTTTTTATCCTTAGGGTATATCTATCTAAAGATATACAGTCAGATTTCTGTGTTGTAATTTCTCTATGTGTAGTATGCCAACCAACTGAATTCATAGGTTAATTTATTTCAATATATTTTCATTTTTAGAGATTTCTTTTTCAATTTTTAATTGTGCTTTGTAATTATGTCAAATATTTACATATTCCTAAGCAAATCTACATGACAAGGTCTCTTCCAAGTCCAGCTTCTATCCCTGTCCCATATACCTCATTCCCACCCTCAATCTGTCGGTATTTTAAAATGTATTTTATGTTTTATCCTTTTATTGTCTTATTAAAAATATATAAGCAAATGCATATATATTTTTACATGTATTCTCTCTTAAATAAATAGTAGCATAGTAAGCATTGTTTTCTATCATGTGTTTTTTACTTATCAAGAATCTTAGAGATTACAATGTAGGCATATAGGATATATTTTGAATAGATTTCTAGAACTGGGATTGTTGGATCAAAGAACAAATGCATACTTAGTTAGATAGCTATTGCCACATTCCCGTCTACAAGGGTGGATTATACCTTTTCCTGCAAACGCATTTTAATGTTAAAGCAAATGATTAAGCTGGGCACAGTGGCTCATGCCTGTAATCCCAGCACTTTGGGAGGCCAAGGTGGGAGGATTGCTTGAGGCTAGGAGTTAGAGACCAACCTAGGCAACATAGCAAGCCCTTATCTCTACAAAAAAATTAAAAAACTAACCTGGCATGGTAGTGCACCCTTGTAGTCCCAGCTATTTGGGAGACTGAGGCGGAAGGATCACCTAAGTTCAGGAGGTTGAGGGTGCAATTAGCTGTGATCATGCTACTGCATTTCAGCCTGGGTGAATGAGACCCCAACCCAAACCACAAAATAAAAAAGTTAAATGGAATATTATGATCTCTACTTAGAAAGGTTAAATGATTGTTCAAAAATAACTGAATTTGAACCTTCCAAATGCTAGCTACTGGCTCAGTGATCTGACCCACTCTTACCATACCTTCTTCCCATTTTACAGATGAAGAAATTGAGACACGCATAGGGAAATGACCTACCCTAAATGATATAACAAGCTAGAACTTAAAATCCATGTCTGCTGAATCTAAAATTGGATCCCCTTTCAATGTGTTATGGATTTATTTTTTTATTATTATTTTTTATAATCAATATTTTTTATTATGATATTGTGGGGTATAGTTAAGGGTTAGGCATACAAATATGCTTCATTCAGGCACCCTTGTTGATAAGAAGTGTCTCCCCATCCCCGGACAGATGTTTACTACCATTAATCCCATCTCCCTTCCCCTCCCCCCATAGTTTCCCACCACTGTCAGTCATTTTCTTATGGTAATGTGTTGGATGATCAAGGTCCACTATATGAGTGAGAACATGTGACACTCAGATCTTTGTTTCTGTGTTATGGATTTATTTACGGTGAACTTGATTTGCTTATCTGTAGATAGGGAAGAAAACATAGTAATTTTCATAGGACACTAAAAAATTAATGAGATAATTGTGGGTAAATTCTCCTGTGTGTGTAGAAGAGATTCTTCAAGATATGACTTAACTTCTTTGGATAAATAAGGAATCAGCAATTAAACTCTGGTGTCAGGGCACCAAGAATGATCTTATGGATGACAGAGACAATCACCCTTGAAGAATCTGTTCTCGTTTTTTGGCAGAGTGCTTTGAACTTCTTTGAGCAAAGATGCTAGGCAAAGCTCTACAAATGGATTTGGACAAAGATGTAATTTCCCCAGAGAATGAACACACTGCAAACCACAAAGCCTTTTTTTTCTATTCTTAGAGTAACCCTGGGGTTCTCCTTTGTGCTTGCTTGAGACAGGTTGATTGACTTATGTGCAGTTTGGGACGCTGGAGTCTTCCTTCCCTCTGCAGACTGGAACGGAGCCTCCTCTGGTGTTGCAGGGAGGAGGCTGAATGAGACAGAGAAGGTGAGTGCAGCATGAGCCTGGGGCATGCATCAGAGGAGTGAGGGTAAGGTTGAGGGTAGGGGGAAATTCTTGCCTCTTCTTCTTAGTGAGAGAAGGCTCTTTGGTCCCGGGAATCTTCCAAGGAGTGTCTCCCTCCTTCTCCCCAGAGATAGAAGCACAGAGCTGGCCACAGAGCCTCATCCCAAGGCTCTTCCCTGGCAGGTGCAGTCAACCTGGCGATAGTGTTGGCATCATCCCAACTGTCCACCTTAGTTGAAAAATTGGGAAACAGCTTTGTTTGTAGCTCATATGCCCCTTAGTCTGGGCCTCCACAACCTGGGAGCCTCCTGAGTGACAGTCCCAGCATGTTGGGGCTGGAGTCTGAGAACCCCTCTCCCTGGGTGGAGCATTGAGCCCTGGCAGATGGACAGCTGTCCAAGATGCAATAAGTGGCCAAGGCCCATAGCCCTGAAGCCATACCCTGTGTCTAGGGTCTGCATTGTTCTATTCTGGGGTAAAATATCCCATCAACTTCTGTTTTACTCTTAGGCCAAGGTGTCAAGGGAGGACACATCAGAACTGAGGCTACAATTTTAACAGAGTAACAGTTGGCAATGGATGGCAGGCTGGTCTCCTGGAGGCTGCTGGCTGGGGGAGTCTGACTTAGGGGCCTGAGCAGACAAAGATTTCCTTATTGTTTGAGTGTGGGCATCTCTGCCTCACTGCAGTTTGTCTTTCTTGCCCGGCTCCTTCTCCAGGAGTCTTCTGTGCCCCCAGAAGGAGTTGGGGATGGGGGTAGAGGAGGTAAAAAGGGATTGAAAGGTGAAAGTAGAGTGTGCTTGTAACGTGGACTTAGGACCTGGGGAAACCTGATAGGAATCCAGCTCTACTTGCTTTGTGACTTTCAGAGAGTTTCTTAACCACTCCAGGCCTTGGTTTCCTTGTTTATACAATGGCCATAATAATGAACATCTTCTTATAAAAGACCAAAGAGTAAACGTATGAAGAGCTCTGCACGGTGCCTGACGTGTAGTGAGTGTTCAGTAAATGAAGGTTATTATTATTATTTCTCATATCAACAACAGCCCAGATATGCTTATTTTATTAAGGTAGCCTTTGTGTGGGCCCTGCTTATCTCAGAACAGTGTCAGATTTCAGAAACCACGTGGAAAATTCATCTAACTACAGGGCTATTTCACCCCACCATTCTTACTAAATACTGAACTTGACAGACTGACTAATAGCGGGAAGGAGGGGGCGGTGCACGTCATTCTTTTGTTTTACTATATGTGAAGGACTTTGATGGCAAAAGCAATATGCCAGTTTATTTTATTTTATTTTTTATTTTTATTTATTTATTTTTTTGAGTTGGAGTCTCACTCTGTCGCCCAGACTGGAGTGCAGTGGCCGCTCCCGGCCACCGCAGCCTCGACCTGCTGGGCTCCGGCGATCCTTCTGCCTCAGCCTTCTAAGTAGCTGGAACTACAGGTGCGTGCTACCATGCCCGGCTAATTTTTTTGATTTATTGTAGAGATGAGGTCTCACCAAGTTACCCAGGCGGGTCTCGAACCCGTGGGCTCAGGCAATCCACTCACCTCAGCCTCCCAAGGCGCGGGATTACAGGCTGAGCCACCAAGCCCGGCTATGCCAGTTTATTTTAAATGACATGTGGTTGTATGTGAAATTGCATGGGATCAGATCCTCAGGTCTGTGACAGAATCAGGGAGTTTGTCCAGCTCTGTGTCACGAGAGAGAACATTCTCCCTATTTTCTATTCCTCTATCTACACAGTCCCTCCTGGGGCACACATGGTGGGGGTGGGGGAAGGTTGGGGATTGGGGGACATTCTTGCCTCCTGCCTATTCTCCTCTTCTCCCTGGGCACACACACTCTGGGCAGCCTGAGGAACCCGGGGCCTGCCTTCTCTGATGCTAGCAGTGTTACTGCCCAGCAGCAGATCTGGCTGGCAGTGAAGTCATGCCCTGTCGCATCCTACCAAATCCATGCTAGCAAGCTCATCCTCACACTCCTGGATACTTCCAATTCAATCAGCAATCCTGAATATTGGTTCTGAGCTTTATCCTTTTTATAGGGTGTCCATGTACATTAATTGTGTTTTATTTGACTCTCACCACAATTCTGTGACATGAGCAAGGCTGGTGTCATGATTCCCATCTTACTGATGAATAAAAGAAGTTATTTCCTCCAAGAGTCACAAAACTAATTAGCAAAAGAGTCCCTACAAGAACTTCAAGGCCCTGAACCACGGACCGTTTTTCTTGCTGTGACATCACACTTTCTCCTTCAGTCTGAAGCACCCCCAAATCATGAAGGGGGAACACCTATCAAAGGATTCTCAGACACACAGAGGAACCTAAAAAAAGAAATAATTCAGAGAATAAATGCCAGCCGGACATATGGCTCCTAAGGAAACAATAAGTTCTGGGAGAAGGGAGCTGATCCAGATTTAGATGGCAATAATGATCATGATGATAATCAATATTCCAGCACCCCCCATGCACAGGCACTAGGCTCTGAGCTCGACAGTCCTCCTCATGGCCCTATGAGGTAGGGCCCATTATCCACCGTGTTTTGCTGGTGACAGTATGAAGGTACATAGAGCTTAAGGCACGTGCTCGAAGCTCACCTAAGGAAGTGCCAGGTCCTGGATTTGAATCCTGTAGTCCAGCTCTGGAACCGCGCAGTCTATCATTTGGTTTTGGGGCTGGAACCTGTTTTTAGAGTGGATTGTTCCAAGATTCACTTGAAACACTGCATAGCTGTTTCTGGGCGAGCATCCCTCCAGGTTCTGGGTGTGAATATGAGTTTGTGGCTTCAGCTCAGAAGCCTCCTAAGAAGCAAGCCCTCTGCTTCTCTGTCCTTCCTCCCTCTGGTTCGTCCCCCTTTGTTAGAGGCCAGCTGCCATCTGGAGCTGCCCCAGGCATCCGCTTCTGAGCCTGCTCCTCCCTCCTCTTCCCCACCCTGGCATGCAACCTCTTCCACGCTCAGGCTTCATCTCTCTTTCCTCCTCCCTCTACCCCCAGTGCTTCTGCTCCTTGTCAACTCAGGTCACTGGGAACAGATACCAGCCCTCTGATGCAAGGCAGAGAAACCACCCAGCTTCCCCAGACCTTCAGTTTCCCAAAGGAATCCATTTGGTTAATTGCGCTCACACCCCTACGCCCCTCTCCCCGCTAGGGAGAAGCTGGGCCTCCTCCTAGAAACATCGTGACAGGCCACCTCGGGCAACGTGGGCTCCAGACACACAGCTGTGGCTTGATGGCGGCAGGGCCTTGGACTTCATTAGGAAATGTTTGTTTTGCTCTCCACCCCCTGCCCCCAAACCGATTCCAGACCCCTGAGGAAGCCCCCACACTTAGCCTCCTTTCCCTTGACCACTGAGATCTATAGGGTAGTTGTGGGGACATGGGTGGTGGCCGGGAAAGCTACTTCCCCTAGTAACTCGTGCTATTTATCTGCTTTCTGCTGAAGTGATGTGGTCACATCTAGTCCCCTGTCAGTCTTTCCTGCTGCCCACCAAGCCCACCTTTCCACGATAGGCTAGCCTGTTAGGTTTGAGACAGCATGTCAACCCGATGACTTTCTGTTTCTAATAAGAGGAGCACAGACTCTAGCAAAGGGAGGCCCTTTCGGGGCATAAGGCATAAAGCTTTCCCCTGTACCACTGGAGCCAAAAGTCTTCAGTTTGAGCACTTGTAGCTGCCAGCACTTTGCAACCAGACTCCTAGACAAATGGTGTATCTTATAACTCAAGAAAAACCTCCCCCTGTCTGTTGCCTCCCTCTTTGTGCTCCCACCTCCCCTCCTCCAGGCCTCCTGTGTTTTCACATCTCCTCCAGCCTGGAGAAGCCTGCCGGGATAGCAGTTGGATCCAGACTGATGTCTGTATTGGATGTAAATGCAGAAGGCTGGAGGGAGGGAGGGCAGGAACAGATGCTGCTTCCTCCTGCTGTCTTGGTCCTTTCCTCCCTGTGCTCTGCTTATCACGTCAGACAGGAATTTTAAAAATGCAACTGGGGATGTGCCATCCTTGGAATATCAGCAGCTAAACCAATATTGACAGCCGAATGGGTGCTGCTTCAGAACTGACCCAGCCTCCCTCTCTGGGGCTGATCCTAGCTATGTAGTTGACATCATAGGTCATGGGGCAATGGTGGAAGAAACTGGCGGGGAGTGCTTTAGTGACAGAGACTATGGCAGAGGCAGGGGAGAGGGGAGCCCCAAGGGGCTTTGACTGGTCTGAGATTTTACAGGAACCTCCCTTCCTCTCTGGTCTAAAGTAGACACTGCCTGTGCAAATCATTACATGTTGGCTCTAAGAGAAAACTGTAATTCCTTGACCACAAAACCAATGTATGGTTGTCTACACAGGCCTTGTCTGCTCTATACATCTGCAAAGTAGATCTGAAAGCCCAGCTTGTCCAAAGCCATGTAGCAAAGCTGCACCCCAGCTATAACCTGGGGGAAAGGAGAAAGGACCACTGGTTTTTGAATGCCAAATGTGTGCCAGGCCTGGGTTAGATGCTGTGTGTATACATTAGCTCATTAATTGATTTAGTAACTGTCACAGCAACCTTGCATTAAGTAAGTGCATTTATCCCACACTTAAAGACAAGAAAACTGGCTCTGAGAGAGAATCAACAAACAAAGCTGCAGGAAACCTCGTAATGGGGAAATGACTGGGTGGGATAGAAACTCAGGTGTGTGTGGCTGCACGCCCATGCCCTGTCCCTGTGCCAGCAGGATTAAACACACTTCCTCTTGGCGTTAAACCTCTGAATCCATGTCTAGTGTGTTTCCCTGGTCTGAATGGTTCCATAGCTAGTTTATTAAGCCCTGTTCTTCTTTGAGCCTACACTCCTGTGAAAGGCCAGGAGAAAAGTAGAAGATGGTTGCCCTGCACTCGAGAAGCTCTTAATCTGGTGGAGGAGCTGATGGTCATCTATATTTTCCCCACCCCAGGTGTCTTGCTCCTCTTTTTTCCCCTGTTTGAGCCCAGT